TAAAGAAAATTCTGATTTTACATAGTAAAAAACTGTAAATGATAGTGTCCGTCCAAAAATTCTTTTTTACTTATAGTGAAAACTACCCTTGGATGATGGTAAGGTAGACTAAAAGCTTTAGGAATCCAAAGTACAACATATAAGTACCCTGTATCAAGATTGATGCAAAACAAGTGACATTTGACCTTTTTAGAGAGGTTTAGCCAAAAACACTCCACCTCTGAGGTGATTTCAGTGGAAATTGTTTTGTTTTCATATCTCTGGAACCCATTGGTCGATTTTGATGGTTGACACCTTTCTGACCGTTAGAGCCAATAGAATCGAAGGGGGAGTCCCCCACACACACTCATTGTGAAACAAAAAGGTGGGGGCTTTGCGCATGTAATTTTGTATTAGAGTGAAGCTACAGTCTAGCTCTGACATCTAGAAACGTAAAAACATGGATTATCCGTCTGTTTGCTCATGGATTATCAGAAATCATTTCAAAGGGACACAGACACATTGGATTAACCTATGGATTAACTTCAGCAGCGTTTTTATCGTTTTAATGCCATTGAAGACCACTTTGGAGAGACTACAGAGCCAAGGTAAAAATGTTAGCATTTTTAGCTACCTAGCGTCACCTGTTTTGATGTCTGTTTTTGTTTATAACGTCGCAAATTCGTATAATTCAGTGATAATGAGGGTACCCATCGATTCTGTGTCACCTCACGATGTGAATCGATGTCATGGATGTGGAGAAGAGATAAATAATAAGGTTTTGTGAGTGATTTTCGGTGCAGTAATCTGTTAGCATTTTTCGCTCGTTGCTAATTCAGAGGCTCAGTGTTAGCATTGTGGGTTTTCTTTTGAAAAAAAAAAAAAAAATGATCAGTTAGATGATTTTCTTACCGTTACATGGATATAAAACATTCATAGTTTATTAAATGAACATGCCCTCAGACACTGTTTCCTGCAAGATGTTGCGGCAGTGCCCCGGTACCAGGGTCTCTCAGGCAACAGGTTAAGTAAAACAACAGAACTATGAAACCTTAGAAAAAAAGAAACCTACATATTTAGTATGAAAAATGATTTAATTTGAAGGAAAAGCTGTCTTTCATGAAGCATATTCAGGCAGTAGCCTATGGATCTTAATCATAAGAAAAGTGGTTTTTATTTACAGAGGGTCTAACGGCCCGTCCACACAGCAGCGTTGGAAGCTTCTTCCATTCACTTTGAATGGGGTGACGTCACTTTTCGCCGAACTGCATTGTGGGAAGCAGAGCGGAGCTTTCCTGGCGTTTCAGGCTGCAAAAGTTGAGCAATGTTCAACTTTTGAAGCTTCTGAAGCTTTCGGTGGAAGCGTCAGCCAATCAAATCATATGCCAGTACAAGCTCTAGCCAATCAAACCGCTGCTTGTGTGTCAGGGGCGGGAGATTCATGTGATTGGTTGTTGAGACACGCCCGCCGGCAAGCTTTTTCCAAAGCCGCTGTGTGGACGGGCCGTAACAGACATGTTGTATCAGGAGCATCATTCCACTGACAAACCCACAAAGCAAACACCACTCGCTGCACATCATTCCATTACAATGATCTGTTCATCCCCAAAGCCTTGCCATGGTGCTATAAGAACCAACATTTACCATGTGATGTAAAACACTGCATAATCTGCCGTTCAATGGGCATCACATTTTGTGAAGCATTCATAGTTTTAACATCCCTTATTGTGGTAATAGGAAGTTTTCCTAATTGTATTTTTATGGTGAACGTTGAAAACTAAATGTGAAAGTGTATTTGTCTCTCACAGTTAGCTAAATGTTTACACTTTATTGTTGTACTCAGTTCCACTTGAATAAAGTATTTTTCAACTTGTGCTATGAGTTGCTGTGTTGATTGAAAAGAAACAATACACAGAAACGTTAAAGAGTCGTTCATGAAATGGAATTCAAATAAATGACCTGTATTGCTGAAATATGAGGGGGAAAACATGTGATAATGAGCAACTGTGGTAGCTCATTATAACAAATGAGCTACCACAATAGCTTTAATGTTCAAAAAGCTCTTTATTTTTGCTCATATGCCTGTGCTGCAGCACCTCTTTTCACCCTCTGTCTGAAACCAGAGCCCAGTCTGCTCTGATTGGTTAGCTGGCCGGCTCTGTTGTGATTGGTCAACCACTTAGGGATGTGTTGCCCCTTACTTTATCATGTATAATGTGTTGAAGTGCTAGCCAATAGAAGCGCAAGTGTTATGCAGTGATGTCACTGTGTTGCGGAAGTAAACCGAGGAGTACAAAAGAGGCATTTCAGGCAAGGGGGGTGTGTGGGTGAGAAACTCCCTCTGGCATGACCTTCAGGATTTGAGCCTTTGCAGACCATTGACATGCACAAGAACCTTTATTACACACTACAGGAAAGGGAAGACTTAAAAGAGCATAATAGGGCCTCTTTAAGAAGACAAACTAATGGCGCGTTTCCACTACAGCGCGGAGCACGGTTTAAGAGGGCTGTGACGTCAGCGGCCCGTCTTTGGTTGCGTTTCCATTTGGCCTAGTACCGGCCGGCGGGTCCTAATTCACAGTTTTTCTGGCCTCATAAAATCGTGGGTCTAGGGCCAGAGACAACGAGGCTGAGTCGGGCTGAGTATGCTAAACTAGAGAGAGAATCGCTGGCAAGGGGGCTACAACTACAACAAGATGGACATATTTGACCGTGATTTAATTGTAATACACGTTTCAAAATGATGCCGAAGTAACAACATACTGATACCGGTTAGTAAAAACCATGAATTAATGCTTTGAGAAGTCTGCAGACAGACGGCAGGCGAAAAACCTTTTAAAATGCGTGTTTTCTAAATGGAGATTGGCTAAGCTAACGCAGTATATGCTCCGACCGTCCACACTCACAACAACGGCCTATACAGACATAAATAAAGCAGCGACTGTATTCGTCATGACACAGGCAGTCTGTGGTGTGTACTTGTTTAACTTTTGTCTAGTTTCTGAACATATATGAGGAGCTGTGAGCTCTGAGTGCTAATAGCTAACGGCTGTGTTGTTTTTCTGGGGTTCTCATTGAAGATGACGTCACGGCTCCGCCTACACTGCGTTACTATAGATACTACCCCAGTTCCTAAACTGTAATGGAAATGCGCCATAAAGTGAGCCAGTCCTAACGAGGCCTAGCCATACCGAGCGAGGCCGAGCGAGGCCGTGTAGTGGAAACGCGCCATAAGAGTACACGAGGCTGGTATTTATTACGTCAAAGCCCCTGACCTTTAAATACATTACTTTCAATGTAAAACATTTGTTATAAATATACATGTTTTTCTATATTAACAAACAAAATCTACAACTAGTCAATCAATCAACAACTTTATTACTAGTATAACTATTGTTGGTAGCATGAAAAGTGAAGTGTAAATGTGAGTGAATGAGTTTTCTTGTGTCAGTAATTGAAAGCAATATACTTTAGGCTAAGTAATCACATTGCAGTGACTGACGTAGCAGATTGTTCTTTGTGTTGTTCAACCTCTTTGTTAGTATAAGAAATATCAGTGTGACTTCTTTCATTGTATTATGTTGACATGCATTATGGACAATAGGGGAAGAGTGGTAAATACAACAGCACTACCCTGTTTGACTATCAATTCAGCACCAACTCATTTGAGATGTAGCTGTATTAACCCTCCTATTGTCTTCGTGTTCCCCCCTTACTTTGGTGTTCGCGGTCACATTTGACCGGTCCTGTTTTAACTGCTATTACATTAACACAAAAACCATTAATCATCACCAAATTTCATTTAACACCCTTTCAAACTGTAAATATTGTATCAGACTACTGGTATACATGAACAACTGCAGTACATATACAAAGAATAGACGTCACACTGAACATGTATTGCGTGTGCCAGGTGTGATCCATGTGGGGGGATGGGCACATAAGAGCGGGAAATGTGTCAAATTGTTTTGTGTGTGTTTGTGTGTGCCAGGTGTGATTCACATGGGGGGATTGGGCACATAAGGGGGGGGGACACATCTAGAGAGAGAGTGTGTGTGTGTGTGTGTGTGTGTGTGTGTGTGTGTGTGTGTGTGTGTGTGTGTGTGTGTGTGTGTGTGTGTGTGTGTGTGTGTGTGTGGGGGTGTGTGGGGGTGTGTGGGGGTGGGTGGGTGTTTGTGTGCGTGTGTGTATCTGATCCGGATGGTTACTAATTCCTTTTCTTTATGGCGGTCACACCATGGGTGTTACAAAGTTGACTAAATCATCCAAATTTCAATGAAAGTGGTGATCAGCAATGTTATATGTTCAAATGTCTACTGTGAAGGATATCATAAAGCCTTAATGCAATCGAATCTAAAACAAAAAAGTTATGATTGATGAAAGTAGTAAATCGGTCAGATTTGACCCAAAGACAACAGGAGGGTTAAAGCTCAGAGTCAATCAATTCAAAACAAAATAGAAAAAACTGTTGAACTAAGGCACGCCTGTGCATGCAAGCCTACAGGAGGAGCTACACCTGAGGCTGTGCAGTCATCATTCAGTCAGGGTGTTGGTGACACACTGCTGAAACTCCATTTACTCTTTTACATTCCTGCAGCACTGCAGGAATGTGGTTCACTGCAGAGCGGGTTGTTTGTGGGTGTCAATGTGGTCTGTTTGTTCAAACACTTTTCTGGATAAGGGATTGGATAGACCACAACTAAATACATTTTGTATATAACGAATGAAGGCTACTCTGATCAAGTCATCCTCGTTTGGTTTTGGCATGATGTCACATATTTCCATATACAATGGAAATGTAACAACATGGGAATTCAAAAGAGAATGTCGTGACAGTTTTCTGCTTGAGATGCCAAAGGGACACTACTGTCAATTAAATCTGATCAAACTACACCCAAGTGCTAAAGTGTATAGCTGAGTTTATGAGATGTAATCACTTTATTACATCTATGGAAAAAATGAACGATGGCTATGTGGTGGTGTTATGTCATCTTCTCTTGCAATAAAAAATGTGTAGCCTCATGAGTAAATCAAATACATGATGTATGCTGATCTTTAAAACCCACACAAAGACTCAAATGAATAGGTTAGGGAGAAGAGTTTTGTTTATGTTTCATTAGAGATGGCATTCACCCCACTCCACGGGGCACACGTGCCATAGCTGCAAATATTTTTCACGCTGTCTCCTCTGCCAAACGCACATGACAATCTGCTGCAGCATACCTGGGTTGCGGTCGAATAGTCCATTTAGCTTAGGAACCTTCCTAACGGAGTGAAATGACCCGGAAGTCCCTCAGTGGCAGCCATGATAAGTGCCGTTCGAATTCTCTAAATGAAAGGAAAGGAGGTTTCAAACTTCCTTTATAACCTCCTTTAGCTTAGGAACCACTGGACCTCCCTAACCAAAAGGAGAGGAGAACATGCTGCCCCACAATGCCTTGCGGCCGCGGCATTTGCCGTCACACAACAGTCGGCCGTTCACAGAAACAACCGATTATGAACGAGAAATGATATCATGATAGTTACGGTGCTTATTAAGCATTTTAAAACGTATGTGGTAAGTTGCCAAAGTGCTTTGTTTTGAACGTTCATCAGTATTATAATCAAAAAGAGAAATATGAACGTTAGTTTTTACTGAAATGATCAAATAAAGTCAACATTTCACAGTCTTTACTGAGCTGTGTGGGGTTTGTTCAACTTTTAAAAGATGTTTGAATGGTGATATACACAGTGATAGATGTTAAGGACTAACGTTTATAATAAATACATTTGTATTGATTTTAAGATCTTTTCATACAATCATACGTAGGCTATTGGGATCATTTGTATTAATGTGGACCGGAGGGAGAGGGTGACGAGCATAAGTGTCACTTTCCTTTTTTATTTCAATTCCAACTTTGGTCATGAAGAATATGTTTCTCTGTTGTCCCCGTTCATAAAGCATAAAACAACAGCATCAGAGCACGGTGATGACAGTACAGTAGTCCCTCGTTCTTATTAAACATCCATGTTGTAGTCCGCTGAAAACTGTAGTTTCCATAGTTTCCCCACAGCAGCAGACGCACATTTATGACCTCCGCTGGCGCATCATAAACACGTCGGATAGTGAAAGTGCAGTCGGATTCTCTAAAGTACCGCAGTCTCTTCTCCTAAATCCTTTTGAATTCTCCTATCCACTATCCCTTAACCCCGTGACGTTTCACTCAGAGGTCAAGGAATAGACGATAGGGTTAGAACTTAGGAGCTGATTTGTGGACTATTCGACCGCAACCCGAGCTGTCCGACTTCAGGCGAGCTTTTTGAGACCTCCCTCGGCTGCAATCGGCTATTCTCGTCTACTTTCGAGGCGAGCCGCAGCTCGTCTCAAACAAGCCTAGTATAAAAAAACTGATGCTTTATGTTGGTTTGACTTGGCTATTATTTTGAAAGGAATCCGGAAGTCCACGTCCAATCGCTGGCAGTCGCAGAAGGTGCACATCCAGCGGCGGAGATTCTGGACGGAGGCGACTAGTGCCTGTAAAAAAACAGTCAATACCTCGAAGAATATCAACCATGTCTGCTGCTTTCTACGTTTGCTTTCTCCTTTGGTGCTTCCAGACCAACACAGGTAAGTTAGTTTGCTGTTTAACGTTCGTCATTGAGTATCCCGCAGACGTTACCTGTTAGCTCATTTGTCCATTGGCTAATGCTAAATGTTAATTTCTCTAAAACACACGGTTTTAAACACACTTAGCTAAACTGTGTTACAGGCCTAACGTTAGCTCTTAGCTTTTCATAACGTTACTTTATGTATTGGAGATCTAAACGTATTAAGGAACGTCCACTTTGGCCTTGTCTTAGCCTGTTGTTTTCGGTTTCTAGCGAAATTAAAGATGGGCACATGTATTTCTGTTAGCGAGTCGCACAGTAATACATGTGTTACAACTGCAAGATGATACATGCTAACATTTAAGCTAGAGGTGCTGAAGTGGTTTATTGTCTGAAATGCTCAGATAATCAGAAAGTGCTTCTGTGCAATGAAATGCAAAGTCGGTGCTTCCTGTCAATAACGATGATGCTAGATGATTACAAATAGAAACATGCTTCAGTTTAGAGTTTAGACAATATGAGCAGTACAAATCAATTCACTCAAACGGTACAATCTAAGATCAATCAACATGTTATGGATCATGTACAAGGTGAATATGCTGTTTTCATTTCAAAACAGGGCAGGTTTATTTATACAGCACATTCCAACACGCATTGCTTAGTGCTGTACAAAAGAACATTACAAGCAACAATTATATTGCAACAGAAATGCATTTTAAAGTGAAACTTTAAAAAATACATTTAAAACAGAAATTATATATTTTTTAAGCCTTGTTTTAATCGAAGTTATAGTTGTAGCACACCTGCAGTTTTCTGGTAGATTCTGTGTAATTGTTTTATGTGCTGTATAATACCTGACCTCTTCTTCATGCTTAGTTGTGACTCTGGGAACAAAAAGCAGAAGACCTGACACTTCTGCATGGTTCATGTTGTAGCAGAAGAGCAGCAATGTGTTTTGGATAACACAATCCCTCTCACTCTCACAGACTTCCTGCCCTGAAGCATAAAGAAACCTGCTTGTGATGTTTGGCCTCTACCATCCACTGTAGTCGGCTCCTAGTTTCGGACCTGCCTGTACGTTTGTTCCTCACTACAATTGAGGCCATGATTAAAGTTATTAAAAACATCAAATTATTTACACTCCGATTATCAAAATAGTATAGTAGGGCTGCCCTTGACCAAATATTGTCCTACCAATAGTCTTCAGTTCAATAAATGAGTCGGCTAGTCATCGCACTTTTATGATGATTCATTGTATTTATTTTTGGCCTCAGGAAATGGCTTTAGTTCCAGTGCATAGAAAGAACGTTATGGGTAACATCATGGTACGTTGTGCTACATATCAAATCAAAATATAAAACTGTAATAATGAGGCTTATAAATATATACTATGATGAATGATGCTGGTAAAGATTCTTCCATTTTGTTCATGTATTCTCTCAACACAGCACAACAGACACACACCCAAAACGAAACCACTCTTGGACATAAATTACTTTTGACCAAGCGCAGTTCCAGGAAAAAAGGGGTTTTCTGCCCGATGCGACAATGCAGTGCCCAGAAGGAGTTACATTTTTATTTGTATTTAACTTATGCAAATAATAGACTAATGAAAAATTGCTCGACTAAGACTTTTTGAGCCGACTAACGTTTGGTCCACTATTAGGGGAACATTCTTAATAAATAGAGGCAGATTTTGTGAAAGCATGTAAACATAACCTTTTGACATAACAGTGTACACTTGTTAGAGGAGGACGGGCCACATACACACATATTGCAATAAAGGTGTAAATGCAAATAGATGTCAAACCTTTTGAAAGGCTGTTACAGTAAGTCTATTTTAGTGTAGATAACATGTGATCTTAAAAAGCTTGTTTTGAAGCTAGTTCCAAATCCTCTATTCAGTTTCCTGTGATAGAGTGGTGACCCACCAAATGCTTTCTGTTCCTTTTTGAAAGGAGTGGAATTTTCTCAAATCCCTGGCCAAGCTCTGCATGTCCTTTGAGTACAAATCATTTAGCAGCGATAAGATCTAGCCTATGTTTGTGTGTTTGTTGGCTAAATAGAGCTTTCCTTTTCCTTCCACTCAGAAGTTCTTTATAAAAGGCCCAGTTCACAACATCGGATATTTATTTTGAAAGAAGAGTGCCTCTGTAAACCAGCTCATACAGAGAGTGTTGCATTGTGGGTTGTTTACACTCTTATTGTTGCTAGCAAATGTCAAGTCCGGTTTTTGTCTTTATTTTTAATTCAGCCCTAAAGTCTTTAGATATAGAAAGCAAGGCTCTCAGGATAAGGACCCTCTTTTCCTCAGATTCATTGTATCTCAGGGAAGTGTGCTGTACAACATATTCTTCCAAAACTGATGTTCAAAAGCCAGTGAAATGATCAGAGCTAATACAATATTCAAAGTGTATGTGTGATTGAACAGGATTAGTTATTTGTAAAGCTCTACTGAATTCTTGCAAAACATTTCATTGTGAGTACCTCTCAGCTAGGAATAATAGAGTAGGACTCTTTTTTCATAAATCAAATTGACCTGTTTTATAAAGCTGAGCCTAGGCATTCATTCAACAATATGATTTATCATCCTTCAATAGATCAATTTTGTGATATAAGTTATGTTTTAAGATATTGTGCAAAAAAGCCATGTATTAATTGAATTGCAAGAAACATGCTATTGTCGGACAGGGCCACCATGTTAAATTGTTTTAATGAGCATTTTGTGTCCTGTGGCTCTATGTTTGATTCTGTCACTAACTCTGCTTCTGTGAACACCACAATCCGTGACTCTGAACAATGTGGTTTGGAAAACCCTTTCAGTTTTACTCCTTTTACTATTGATGTTGTTCGTGAAGCCTTAACCAAGTTAGATCCTAAGAAACTGGCTGGCCCGGACAACGTAGAGCCTTTCTTTTTAAAGATAGCTGCAGATTTTATTGCTCCACCTCTCACTACTCTTTTTAACCTCTCCCTCAGCACAAATACAATTCCAAAAGTATGGAAGTCAGCTTATGTCCTGCCTTTACTAAAAGGAGGGGAGGCCACCTTATTAAATAATTATAGACCTATCTCTAAATTGTCAGTTCTGGCCAAGGTGCTCGAACGCCTAGTGAGTGAACAGGTAAAGGAGTTTTTATGTACAAATGACATCCTGTCTAAACATCAGTCAGGCTTCAGAAAGAAACATAGCACCATCACTGCGACAATGAAAGTGGTGAATGATGTGGCGAGTATTCTACATAATAAGCAGAGTTGTGCAGCTCTATTTGTTGACCTTTCCAAAGCGTTTGATTCCGTCGATCATCGCATCTTGAAGCAGAGGCTAGTCAGTATTGGCTTATCCTGCCATGCAGTGGGGTGGTTTGTGAACTACCTCTCTGAAAGGTCCCAATGTGTTCAGTTTGATGGGCTGTCTTCTGAGTGGTTAAACATTACTAATGGTGTACCACAAGGTTCTGTTTTAGGTCCACTTTTATTCTCCATCTACATCAATAGTTTAGGTGAAAATGTCGATGGAGCAACCTTACATTTTTATGCGGACGATACCGTGATGTACTGTGCACGTCCCTCCATTAAGGAGGCTGTTGTTGAATTGCAAGCGGTTTTTAACATTATTCAGACTCAGCTCTCTGAACTAAAGCTTCTTTTAAATGTTGATAAGACCAAGGCAATGCTCTTTTCAAAAGCTAAAAACACACCAGAGCCTGTTTTAGATATTGTTACTACGCAAGGAATAAAACTTGAAGTGGTTACCTGTTACAAATACCTTGGTATCTGGCTTGATGATTGTCTCTCTTTTAAACTTCATGTCAATAACCTGCTTAAAAAACTGAGGGTTAGGCTAGGTTTCTTTTACAGGAACAAGTCCTGTTTCTCGCTTGAGGCCAGGAAAAGGCTAGTCACTGTGACCTTTTTACCTGTGCTGGACTATAGGGCTGTACCCGAATATTCGTTCGTTGGAGTACTATTCGGGTTTCAATTTCGTTATTCGTTATTGAAATCTCCAATATCAACGTAAGAGCTTGTGCCTCTTCGGGGGGTGCTAACACTTAACCATAAACGTTATCGTTTACTTTCTCCGTCTTTATATGTAGATATTACTTTTTCTCCGTTAATCTCCGTCACGTTGTTTCCAAAGCAACAACAACTTCCTGTCAACTGCGCTAACTCTCCTTCAAAATAAAAGCATGTCCATAAATAGAAAGCCAAGCCAAATTACACTTAAGACATATACAACTGCAACGAAAGTAACAAACACAATGCAATATCCTTTTCAATTTCAAAGAACACAAATTGGGTTACATTAACAAATAACTATAAAACAACAATACTGTAGAATAACAAAATGAATGCCGTGAATACACCGAAATACACGTGTTGAAGCGGTTCGCTGCTGATTACTACCGAATATCCGGAGCCCGAAAAATGGTATTCGGGACAGCCCTACTGGACTATGGTGATTTGATTTATATGAATGCACCTGCCAATTACCTGATCAAGTTAGATGCCGCGTATCACAGTGCACTGAGATTTGTGACAAACTGTAAAGTATTAACCCATCACTGTACCCTGTATGCAAGGGCAGGTTTGCCTTCACTAACTGTACGGAGGCTCAGTCACTGGTACATTTTTATATACAAAGCCATGTCAGGGAAACTTCCATCCTATATCTGCTCCCTGATCTCACGGCGAATTGTAAGTAGCTACTGCCTGAGATCGCATGCTGTGGTTTTATTAAATGTGCCAACTGCTAGGACTCTGTCTTAGGGAAGATAGCTTTTAGATGCGCAGCTCCTCTGTCTTGGAATAGTCTGCAATTGAAATGGAAACTGATAGGGATGCTCCGATCGCCAATTTTGGGGCCGATCGCCGGAATCAGTATCGGCCGATACCGATCGCCGATCTGATCGAGTGGGCGGGGCCTAAATGGAAGATTTAAACGTCACTTTAAATCTTCCATTTAAAGTGATGTTTAAAACTCAGTTAATGGGGCTCATTCACTGGAGCTTCCACAAA